TGTAACCATACAGTAATATCTAACAACAAGCATTAATAAAGAATAGTTCATTTCAATCCTCAAACCTTTGATCTATTTGTTTAAAGCAGAAATTCTTCTTAATAACCAGAAAGCCATCAAATGGTTCTGAGAAGATCTCCACGTTCTATCTTTATGCTTCAGAAGGCGCGGCCACCTTCGCGAGTGCCTGTGTTCCAACACTTGACTCTTCTGTTGAGGTTAACGATAGGTTTTACAAAGAACTGGCTATTGTTATGAGTAAGATTCCAAACATTGAGAATTTGTATATTCTGGGGGATGTAAATGCCAGAGCTGTGCTGGCAGAGAATCCTGGCCAATTTTCCTGTGGTCACATAACATAGGAAGTATGCAAGATAATGGACAAAAGCTTTTGGAATCCTGCTCCTTTCATGAATTGTGAATCACCAACTCATTCTTTCAAACAAGTTTAATGAGATTTCTTTTTGAGTTACAGTGTAGCTTATGAATCATTAGAAATAATCTCAGACAGCCAAGGAGCCACTAGGATCTGATAAGTTTCTTTTTTTCTCAATGAATCCATCTCCATTCTGCCATTCTGCTTTTTTTTGGAATGTTCTCATTATGCATCTGTATTTGTATGCGTGTGGGCACATGTATGCAGATTTGGGTGGTGGGGGGTGGTGCAGTAACTGCCTTTTCTTTTGCAGCTACCACTGTCCTCAGCTGATCTGAGTGTACAGGGAGGCCCAGAGCTCCTCCTTCCCTATTCCAGCCAGGGGCTTTAACTGAAAGGGATGCCAGGCTTGTTAGGGAACAGCAGTAGCAGTGAGCAGGTTTCCTGCTCCTGGATGCCCCCCTGCTGCAGCTGTGGGCTACAGACAGCAACTACACAAGCTGCTGGGTTCAGTTGGGAACAGTGGGAGTAGCACGCAGTTTCCTTCTTCCAGTGTCTGCTGCCTGTTGTACCCCACTGGCCTGGGGTCCAGCCACATTTTGCCTCCACTCCTTCAAAAGCTAAAGGGAAAATATGCTGCCACCCCCTTTAGTAAGTACTAGATCCACCTATGCAGGCACATATGTGTCCATGCATGTTCATAGATTTCATAGATTTCATAGACATTAGGGCTGGAAGGGACCTCGGAAGATCATCGAGTCCAGCCCCCCACCCAAAGGGCAGGAAGTCAGCTGGGGTCATAGGATCCCAGCAAGATAAGCATCCAGTTTCATCTTGAAGGTGTTCAATGAAGGCGCTTGAACCACCTTCGGTGGCAGGCTGTTCCAGACACATATGTATACACACTTTTGTGTGACCCATTACTAGCTTTCACAAGGGTATCCATATATCAGAGCAAACAAGTGAAATCTTTCTCTCTCCCACCACAGTCAGCTGGAGCACACATGCAGGTATCTCCTGAGATAAGCCCTATGATGGCTTCTTCACAGCTGGGAAGGGAAAAGGCTCCCCTGCCCCTGCTGGGAGCAATTCCCAGTGTCAGCCCCCAGTCTTGCAGCTTGGGATGGGAGACACTTATCTCCCAGCACCATCTCCATGACTGTAGGGCTGCTGTTCAGAGATGCTTATCTCTCAGCCTAAGTTCTGCAATCATGGGGCTTTGGCTGCGAGACCCTTATCTCCCAGCAGCAGCTCCACAACCACAGGGCCACTTCTGGGAGATTGTTATTTCCTAGCCTGAGCTTTGCAGCTGTGGGGCTTGGGCTGAGAGACCCTTGTCTCAGAGTCTGAGCTCCGCAGAGCTCAGGCTGGGTGATAAGGATCTCCCAGCGACCCCTCCCCGATCACGATTGGGGAACAGAGGGCTTGGAGTTCCCTGCTTCTGGGGCAGGAGGACATGGAGCCCTCCCTGGCAGCAAGCAGCTTCCGGGGCAGGGAGCTATTTGCTGCCCCCAGTGGACAGCTGACTGGGAGCAGGTTTTGCTTGCAGTTAGGTGTCTACACGAGTACTATGGCACCATTACTAATCCCAAATAAATTTGCTACTTGCATTTGCAGGTAGCAAATTTACAAGTGATTAGGGAAGTTTACTGTGAAGTGAGCATGTGCAAGTGTAAACACACATGCTTACTTGGCAGTAAAAAACATTAATTCAAAGTTAAGTGTCTCATGTAGACATGCCCTCAGAGGCACTCTATAGGAGTTGGGCATCTAAGCATAAAGTTAAGTTTCCCCTGAACATATGAATCATACCAACTACATCTGGGCATGTAGGAAAGTTGAATGGATGGGATGAGATACTTTATCAACTTGTGAATGGGAAAAAATACTATAACTATCTATAATCATAAAACAGTGTTCAAAGAAAGGTTCTTCATTAAAATGGGCTTATTTAAACGATAGAAGGATTCTTGTATTTGTATATCAGAAATAAATAAGTCTTTCTTTGGTTACTGCTGTAGGAAGAAGTTTTTCTTTGCCCTGGCTCTTTGGCTGATTCTCCATGAATATTTATTGACAGGTGCAGAAAAAAAATCAATTTGAATCCAGAACAAGTGACCTTCCTCATTTAGCCTCAATGAACCACAATCTCTTTGCTTTGTATGTGTCCTCCAGGCCCCACATCTCTTTCTCATGGCTGGCTGGTAGGCCATGTTCAATAAGAATGTTGGAAGACACAACTTTGACTGGGAGAGAGATAATGCAGGTTTAAACTTTCTCAGGACAGTGGTTGGGGAGGGACAGAAGCTAGGTCTCTCACTCCACAAGGAAGTGCCCCAAGCACCAGGCCCTTGGGTTAAGAGGTGGAAGGATTCTTCTCCTTTGACAAATATTTGTGAACCAGGTTTCTCCCCCACCCAATGTAGTTTTCAGGGACATAAGTGCAGCTACACATACAGGTTATCCTATTCCACCACAGAGCCTATACAACCATAGTGGAGTCTTCTGAGAATGCTCAGTTAGTGAATTCATACATGTATACCTCTACAAGTGGAAAGAGAATCTAAGATACGTAAAAATGCAAAAAAAACCCCAAAACAAAACAAAAAGCCATTTCCATGGCTACCCATGTGCCACTGAGGTGCATAAACATAAATTGGGATTTGCCAACAATCCCTGTTTCAGATAGTTTTAAAAGTTACTTTAAAAGCCACTTACTAATAACATACCATGTTTACCCAAAATCAAGATGACCCCCACTTGAATTAGATTATATACATGAAAAATATTTTTCTATAATCTTCCATGTATAGAACCTAATTATTGGAGCATTGTGTTAAATTCATTACCCCTGCAAAACAGCAGTGAGGGGCAAGGCACCAGACCCCCCCGCCCTCCGTCTCCCCATGCCTGACCCTCTGTCACTTGTCACCTGGTGGACTAGACGTGGTCCATTGTATTCAACTTCCTTGAATAGTCGTAGATATACGCATGTTTATGTGTTTTCTGCTGCAAGATCCTAAGCAAGAAGAAATAGATTCCTGCACACTAGATCACCAGTCCACAATGGAGCTCATGCAAGGGATCATTCTGCTGCAGGAAACAGTGCACAGGATGAGGTCAGTGTGTGGCCAGATCTGGAGTGTGGCTTTGGGATGTGCTGGGTCAGTCTGGCACATAGATATGTCATGTGGGATCATATCATGCCTGTGTGCTGGCCCTGCATGTTGCTGACCCAGCCCACCAACCAACCTTATGCCACTCAGTCAGCCCACAGGGCTAGAAGTTTAAGTATCACTGTGCTAGCTGCTTTCTTCTTCCCTAGATGCCTAAACATATTTCAAATGTTATTTTTCTGGGTCTAGTTCTCTTTTTTTTTTGTTTATTAATTCACCCAATATTATAACCTGTTAAACCAAAGAACTAGATTTTGCTTTTGGGACAAAATGCAGATTTCTCCCTGAGGTATCTCTAACTTAGAAAGCACAGGAGAGCACTTTTCTAGGAGAGGAGGCTCCTTGGTTGTAGTCCCAGCTCTCAATTCTGTTTTGTTTTTTTTTCCCCATATTTTAATGCAACGCCTATCTAATATAAAATGCATACAGAATCCTGGTCCTGGATCTCTTTCTGTGACATCGGTGCCTGAAAACTACATAAGAATCATTTATGATCCCAGTTTACCAATTTGCACCCATCATGTACTGCTTACTATGCAAATCTACAATATCTTGATTCAAATCAACAGTTTTACAATGAGCAGGAAAATGAGAGAACAGTGAAGCTCTGAATATGGTAATTATGTAAATGGTAATGAGCACTCCCATAATTACCCAAAGGTATGTGATAGAGAGGTCCCAAAGCTGGGCATGAAGTTATTTAACCCTTACATTTGTAGAGAGAGTTTTGAGGCAGCAAACAGCCAATACTTGTTCAAAAGGTAGGTGTAAAACTTCTTGGTCTGAAAACTAAAAGAATTATTGTCAGTCCTGATTTTCCTCTAAATTACCACAGTGCAAAGAGGGACATGATGAACATACATGTCTGAACTGCGTATTTTCATGGAAACAGAATGTGATTACAAGTGGCTACAAGAATACAACTGGCAATAATAAAACCAAACCAGAAAGGGAAAAGAAGACAACCAAATGTAGATGCAATAGTAAAAAGTGTCCAGATGTATTTCTAGCCTAAGCAACTGATGCTCATCATAGAAAATACAGATATAGGGGTCATAAGAGTTTTTTTACAGCTTATAGTGGGAGAATGTGGGAGAAAAATGTTTTAGATGATGGAATGAGAAATAGAGGTTGATTATATGCTATCTAACTGTAACATAAAATTTATTTATTGAGGTAGCTAGCTCAATAAGATTGCATCAACTGATTGATTGATCAATTAATCCATCCATTGGTACTAATAATATCACATTATTCAATATTACAGGATATAATACACACATATATAATGTAAGATGGATAGCATTAATAATACACATATTAAATATATATTCTTCTTGTTCTTTTTGTTGTTGTTGTTGTTTTCATCATTAGCATCTACCAAGGTTTCCCACTTCCACGGCATCTGAAAGGTTTTACCTTTTCAGGACATAAAATACGTTCAAGACATGAAAGGAAGAAACCAAACAACTGTGACTGAATTCATCCTTTCAGGATTTTCAAGTCTCCCTGACTTGCCAGTTTTATTCTTTGCATTGGTTCTACTCATATATCTGCTGATCCTGCTTGGGAATGCTCTCATCATTATAGTCACATTGATTGATCCCATCCTTCACACTCCCATGTATTTCTTTCTCAGGAACTTATCCTTCCTGGAGATAAGCTACACCTCTGTCACCATTCCTGGAATGTTGGTCAACCACCTTTCTAGGGAGAAAACCATCTCAGTGTCCAGCTGTGCTGCACAGATATATTTCCTTATCTCCTTTGGGGGAGCAGAATGCTGCCTCCTGGCATTGATGGCTTATGACCGATATGTTGCAATATGCATCCCCCTGGCATATACAGTTGTTATGAATAGAGGGATTTGCTTTCAGCTAGTGGCCACTGCATGGTTAAGCAGCAGTCTTGTGACTCTACTGCATGTGGTGTGGATGTTTAACCACCCTTTCTGCCCTCCTCTGGAGATTGACCATTTCTTCTGTGATGCTCCACCAGTTCTGCAGCTGGTCTGTGGAGACACCCACCTAATTGAAATAGAGGCCCTCGCTTCTGCTACAGTATTTGTTGTGATTCCTTTTGTGATTATACTTTGGTCCTACATTCGAATCCTCACTGCCATCCTGGAGATGCCATCAGTTGAGGGGCAAAGCAAAGCTTTCTCCACTTGTTCCTCACACCTCACTGTGGTTGTCTTATTCTTCAGCACAGCTGGTTTGACATACTTCCAGCCCAAATCTAGCAGTTTGGTTGGTTCCAGTAAATTTTTGTCCCTGTTTTATACCATTCTTACACCATTGTTAAACCCACTTGTCTACAGCCTGAGGAACAAAGAAGTGAAAAGAGCCTTACAGATAAACTTTGGCCAGAGAGTATCTTCATGGAGACAGTTTTGAGCAGTGTGGGCCACTCTGGTGAAGAATCTTAACTGAGACAGTGGGTCTGAAGTGTCCTAGAAACAGAATCACAATCTGAAACATGACACACAATTTGCCACTAACTTATTAGAAAGAAGCTGGTCTGCTGGTTCCTTCATATTAAAATTGTAGCTTATGAAATGTGTTACAAGTGGTCTAGTTCTTGCTAACATCCCTCCCCCACTTACCTTAAGGGTGAGCCTTTCAAATTTGAATTTAGAATAAAGTATTCCTGCTTTCAGTGGATCATAAACTTTAGTGAAAACAATGTCATTTTGACAAATATATATATATTTCTCATGTCTCATATATATATATTTCTCATGAGAAATAAAATTCTGGTTAGCTCTAGTTGTTTTATTTCCTTTTTATTCAAACTTGGAGAAGCAACTAATATGCACAGGAAGGAGCTCAAGCAGAGTACATCTGATGGATGAATTAAATGAGAAGTTTAATGCTAGTCACTGTGCATACATCCTTGATTGGACCACTTCTTAGGTAACAAGTACTCAAGGTTCACTTTCAGATTTTTTATTAAAATAAATGTGTCTATCAAATTTCTGTCTTTTTGCCACACCCCTTATTCCTTGCATTGCCTTAATCTATAGTAACAATGCTTGTATTTTTATTTAATGTCATCGTTCTCCAATCCTGACTCCAGATTTCAATGCTGTAAATGAGAAAAGACTCTCCAGTGCTTGTATTTTATATCCAAAATTCATTCAGCATGAATCTGACAACCTCATTTTTGTTAAGTCTGTGTTTGACCCAGGAACTTCCATGGCATGTATCCATATTTTATATGAATTTTCCTGTGGGTTAATTAGTTACTTAAAGAGTTATGTAGAGATATTTATTTACAAACATGTATCTTCCTTCCTCCCTCTTCCTTTCCTCCCTCTTTCTTTCTCTTTCTCATGCTTTTGAATGATTTTGCATTCTCTTACTTTTAGATGTCTCGTTTCCAAATTAGAATTTACAAACTGACGTCCTTAGGGGTGAATTTTTATTCTTTCCTAGTCATCTAAGTGTCAAGATTTGGTCATCTACATAATTTCCTAAGTGTCTAAAATGCCACTTACACACAGTTTGAAATTCTGTTTCTGGCGCTGTAGTTCTGTACACATGGATAATTACATATGGATGTAGAGTGGGCATTCACACTGCCAAGAAAAAGATAGTATGCTCCACTCCTTTCCCCCAAACCTGAGGAGTTACCCATGGAAATAACCTCGGAAACTAGAGGTCTTAGGTTCTGCCCCTGGCCTGGAAGGGGGAGGCTGAACTCAGGTCCATGGCTTCCCTGGCTAGTGTCCTAACCATTCAGCCAAAACAGAGGGGTGTCTTTTCTCCTAACACCTACCACTTGTTATTTCTGGATGTGCACACTGGTATGTGTCAACAAGTGGTTTGAACATATAGGTGGCCAGTGTACAGTGCACTGTCCATGCCCAGTATATACTTGTATGTGGATAGCGCCACAGCATATCCACACTACTGAGAATCAGAATAGCTACTTCTGTATAAGCTTAGGCAGATGACCAAAAACTGGCCCTTTAGGTGACCAGAAAGGAATAGAATGCAACCCATGACATTTACCAACATAGTTCTCTTCATATCAATAGCCAAGATTCTCAGGCAGTGTAAATTAGCAGAGTGATATTGCTCCAGATCCCTAATTGCTGTAAATAATGTAGTTCCACTGAAACCATTGGGCCAAAACCCCATGTAGTGGAACCTGGAATTGCTTCATTAACACTGTGCTTAGGAGAGAAACCCAAATAAAACATGTAGTGAGAGTATTTTGTTACATTGTTAAGATTAAATAAATAAAGTTTATTTTTTGAAGAGAATAAATTATTTAATTTAATGTACTTCAGTATTTCTTATATCCTTGACCTTGCCTACCTTGCACTGAAATCTCTTTGTAATATATAAAAAATAACATTTCATCTTCTAAGTCAATGCATCTTCCACTAAGGCTGTGCAAAACAGAAGTGTTTCGTTTCAACCAGCATTTTGACATTTCAACAGAACAGTGTTTTTTTTTTTAATTTTGTTTCAAGTTGAAACAGCTGTTCTGTTTTGTTCCATCAAAACGTTTTGCCATTTCCACCCTGTTTCAACGTTTTGCCAATAGGATATAATGGGGAAGGTAGAAACAGGCTATAACTTTGTCATTTCTGGTCAGAGTTGCATGAAACTTGCAGAAATGGTAGCCTCTTCTGAGGGTACAATATGTGCCATGTTTCAAGATGATAGGTGCAGGGAGTTCAGAGAAACTGCACTCCAAAATCTTGAGAGAAAAACTCATGTCACTTGTATGTGTGAAGCCATAGTGGGGTCAAAACTGCAGGCTTGCTAGCGCCTGCTGTGGCAATGAAGCCTGCCAAGTTTAAATGAGATAGGTGCAGTGGGACTCTGGGGTCTGGGGCCCTGCAACTCTGGCTGTCGACAGGCAAAACTCATGACATGGGTGCTTGTGATACTGTCTGGCTTGGCGTGAAGGGGGAACCACTGCAGGCCTCGCTACCAGGCCTTGCTGCGGCCATGAAGCCTGCCAGCTCTCAACAAGACAGGTGCAGCAGGGCTCGGGGTTCTGGGGCCCCGCACCTCTGGCTGTCAGCAGGCAAGATGTGTGACATGGGTGCTTGTGACACTGTGTGTGTGTGTTCAGGTGTGCTCTTCCTGGCACTGGGGCCTCTGCACAACACGGCAGTGTACCCCAGTGAGGTCTCCTCCTGCCCTACAGCCTCAGTTTAGTCCTCCACTGTAAAGGATGGCAGGTGAAAATAATGTAGCTGGCTCAACAGCAATAGCATCAGCACCACCAGCAGCATCTAAGGTAGCCAAATGGAATTGTCACAGAGCCTTTCTTGTTATAAAGGAATTGGCAGCAAGAAGTAAAGATGTTGTGTTGAATATATGTTACTCATGGTGTGTGTGATGGCTTATCTTGTGTTGTTATGTTTGTATGTTTATTATTAAAAAAATGGAATAGTTAGAGAAATATTGAGTCCATGAGTTTCTGTACCTACTACCTAGGAGGCTGATGAAGTGCAGTTCATAGGCACAGCTCTGATAAGTGGTTTGTAATTTCAAACAAGCACCTAACCTCACCACTAGAACTGAAGCCAACTTCCTACAGCTCAAAACACAAAACCTGCCAACTATCTTCAGTACCCCCACAAACTGCACACCAGAATCTATGAAACACAACAATGCCTACCTGTGTGGCACATTACTCACCAAAAAAACACTCAGCCTGCAGTCTCCCATGCCTGATCCTGAGAGGGAACAAATTACCAACTACTTTTCACAGCTGGGCCTATGACCTTCACTTCATTAGTCTCCTAGGTAAAGAAAATCATGGACTCAATATAGATTAGACAGTGGAGTTCTGACACATTGCAACCTGCCGGACATCTCCCCAGGTACCTTTGCACTTTTACCTTTGCTGCTACATCCCGCTTTGCCCCTACCCTCCACCCCAGCCTGTCCCTCTCCCCCTGATGCCTCCATTTCCATTTTCACTGACTGGCTTTCTTGCCTGCATTGCATGCCAGGCTAGCCTCTGGCTTCTTTATCATTCCTTCCATCCAGGACCAACCACAGGTTGACAAAGGGTCCTCATCCTGACAAAGGGTTTTTCAACCTGAAAGCTGGCATCCCAGGCAGCTAAGCTGAGCTCACCAGGAGCCTCACAACTTCACTGCAACCAGCAAGCGTCAGGCCTGTCAAAGACGTGACAGGTCTGGGCATTCCTCAGCCAGGACTGTGTGTGTGAGTGTGTTAGCTTAAGGTTATGGCACCTCCTACCCGCCTTTCACCAAAGAATCTTTGTTCCTGGCATTTATGGGACTGTCACACCATCAGCAGTCCCACCAGGCCTCCGTACCCTGGCCGGGTGCAGTTTTAGTGGTCATGCCCAGGACCTGGGGCCTCCTCCTTCCCAATGGCCCCATCTCATACCTCCACATTTGTCCTGGCAGGGGAACGAGCTCAGCAGGGACATGTTCTTCCCCTGATGTCTGGTAATGCAGTTAGTGCCCCTCAAGCTGAAAGCAAGGCATTATCTGTTTGTTTGTTTTTTAAATGAAAAAAGGAAATAGGTGTGGACACAGTGAGGAGGGTGGCATTCAGTCCATCTGCACCTGAAGCTTGGGGAACCCCAGCAGCGGGAGGTTCACCTTCAGGAACACCAGCTGCTCCACCAAACCAGCATCCAAGCAGGTGTAGTGGAGTGTCACTACATCTCCAGTGATGCTGAAGACCCTCTCACTTGGCACACTGGTCAGTGGACATATCTGGCCACACCGGGCTGTGGCTTGCCCAGTAAACCAAGGAGTCACACAGCAGTGGCTCCACATCCTCAGCAAGATAAGCAGCCACCAAGGCATGATCACTACTTGCCTGATGCTGGGGTCTGGTGGCTCTGGATCTCACCATGTAAGCCATGCTCTTAGCCCATATTGGCAGCACCTGTGGTGGAGGACTCGCATGCTAGAATGAGACAGTGAATCCCCCTGTTCCATGTCCCCCCACCTCTGCCATTCTGCCTCCTGACTTTCTTTACCAGCACCTCCGTCCACTGATTCAGTGTTTGGCTGCCACATACGGTTCCCTTCAACCTTGGGTCACACATGGTGGGCAGCACATGGACCGTACTGGTTCACAAGCCATTTCCTGATGCCTTCCTTCAGCCACCTCACCAGTGCCTGCACATCTGGTAACAGCAGCCTGCCCCAGCCAAGAACATTAATGCCCTGGAAGCTCTCCATTTGGCTCTGAAGTTCCCTCACTATGGGGATCACCTGGCTAAGGAGGGCATCAGCAGCACTGAGGCTCTTGTTGGCCTCAAGAATGGGCTTGAGGACCACCAAGATCTGGGAGATGGTATCCTATTCAGCTTTGTTCAGGGGGTCACTGATCCTGATCTCCCCAAGCAGGGCCATCTCATGGATGGCCTTCTGTTGCTC